CCAGATGACCTGCACTTCTGTACTCTTAATCTTGTAAATTTTATGGAAATTTTATTATCATGGCTTTGCTGTGGTGGGAACATATTTACGATGTTTACTCGATGGTGAAAACAATTTGTTAGCCCACCCAGTCTGATTGCACAGAGGCCTATCAATTTTACGTTTATTCTGCAGGTCGTCGTTGGTGTTGTGTCTGAGTGAAAGTAGGGAATTGCGCATCAGAACATGCTACACCAATTAGCACTGTTATCAGAATAGGTCACATTAGGCCTGCCAAGTCTCCTAAGCTGAGTGGTTACTGGTAGTGACCACTAAATTTATGTATGTTTTTTATTCGTTAGTAATTAATTTCCGTGACTACGAATCTACGTGTGATACCTGAGTCAATTAGACTGTATCCAGCAGTTAATGGAGGTTTCGTCGGGGGATAGTGAAAACTATAAAAATTTTCTAACTTGATACTGAGTTTAAGAACATGTGGAGCTATGCTTCCATGACCCTTTTCATTTTAACTGCTGTGGGAATAATGAAACGGCACAGGGCACTTGAACTCAAGAAGTTATTTATATAGTTTTAAAGGCCTGACATTCGAGTTTTTAAATTAAGATTACTTTACTTTAACTTTAACTTGCGAAGCTGGAAATTGATTTTGAAGACAGACCTTTTGTATTTAAACAAAGGAAATTTGAGATTGTGAGAAATGGCGTTCGAAATTTGCGTCTTTTAGTTGATCTCTTGACGTTGAAAATTCCTTCTGCGGAAAGACCTTCTGACTTTTAAATTAAGGATGAGATTTTTTTTGTCTTGAAGTAATGAACTTATACATTTTATGTGAGGTGTGACTTTCGAATTTTACAGTTAGCATTGTATGATTTCCTTTTATTGTCCTTCTGCAACGTTGAGAAGTCTAGGCCTGTGCTTTGGGAAGTTACGACATTTGAATGAATAAATTTGCGCTCCCGTCAGAAGGGAACGAGCCTTTGAAGTCGACAACGGGATTCCTGCGCCGTACGTAAACTTGCCTTCATAACGATAACCGCGTAGTGCAATGCGTTCTGATGAATGAGAAACTTACTTGCAGTCTGCTGTTGAAGTGCTTTGTCTTTGATCTGAGCGAACAGACTGTCTCTTAAATTGACATGAAGAGAAGTTCCAACAGCATTGTTTTAATGTGGCAGTCATGGTACCCACTTTGAAAAGAAGAAATTGTACCCATGCGGAAAGCAATTTAGTCACTGGTGACCGTCTATCCAGACTGAAGTTTCTCGTGGTTTTTGTGAGTTCCTCTTGAAAAATTCTGACCTCAAATTGGACTACGACCGCTTCCTTCCATATATTTTAAAATAATTATTCATAAATCATTATATTATCGATCCGGTGCATTCTGATGTGCTGACAGTGTCGTTAAATAAACCACAAATAAATGAATAAATCTACAGCACGGATTCACAAACGTTTCTCATTGACACGCAACTAAAGTTGTTTAAGAGCAAAGGACAGAGACTCATTTTATCCAGCGAAAATCTTCGCGTCCTCTGCAAAAATCAGCGATCGAGCAATAAGTTGTTACTGACATCTTAAAATTATCGTTGGCGCCCACAGTGGCATCAAGGTTCCCCCGGTCATGTCGATCTACAGCATTAACATTACCCTAAGTCCCTTTGTTCTATTCAGCAGAGATATCAATTCCTGTATTAACGTATTGCGTTCCGGGCACAGGATTGTTGGTTATGATATTTGACGCTTCGGTCCCTAGTGTGCTATTGTGATTCGTCGTCATTACGACATAACAGTGGCGCCCAGTATGTGTTATACTTGTAGTTGCCTGACTGTAATGGATTGTCAGTCACGCAACTAACGCCTCTTTATTTATAGATCAGTCAAATATATCAAGCAGTAAGATCTGTGTCGGTGGTCTTGATCGTTAACAGGCCAAAGCAGTTTTTTTTCAAATGCAGGTCGTTGTACGGGCAGGGTCTTCTCGCAGACGGTCGGATTCTCTCACCTGGTGAACGGCCTGTCCATTCTAATAGAACACGAAGATTCATTACTGGACCCAGTCCTTAATTAGTTATATATCAGTCCACATATTTTAACACTGTCTATGATATTTTTTATTTTTATGTACATCTACGTTTAACTGTTTTAAATGAAACCTTTCCTTGAGATTTTATTGCTTTAATTGTTTTTATCGCCTCTTGTAATAGTTGAAGAGTACAAATTTTAAAGTAACTCTTACTGTCCTCTTCCTTTGTGTCAGAGCTTAAACAGATTCTCCACTACATGTTCAAACAGCACTACACTATGTAAGACTTGAGGTTCTCACAGCGGTGAGTATGAAGATTTCCGTCTTCTGGGTTGTCGCCCTGATGACGGAGGCAGTATGACCTCTGAAACGTTGGTTAACATCGACCAGACTACACAGCGCAACAACCCAGAAGACGGAAATCTTCATACTCACCGCTGTGAGAACCTCAAGTCTTACATAGTGTAGTGCTGTTTGAACATGTAGTGGAGAATCTGTTTAAGCTCTGACACAAAGGAAGAGGACAGTAAGAGTTACTTTGAGTAAAATATGAAGCCCATAAATGCAATGTGCAGAGTTACTTACTGTTTCTTGAAGCAGGTGGTAAATTCACTTACAGCTGGGCTTCAATTTCAGTCCATACCCAGTAATCTAATGCGCATGTCCAAATATCTCAAAGCCTGCGTTGATGAACAATGTAATTTGACTCCAGTAATTATCCAAGCCTGTCACATATGCTGGGTGTTTCAAGGCGCGTACGATGCGACCATCGAACGCTGAAGTTCCGAGTTCGAATTCCGTTCGAAGTACAGCACCAGTCTCCGATCATAGATGTCCTGATTTTAGTTAAAATGTTCCTGTGCTTAATTAAGCATCGTACTATAAAGTAGTGGGAGGGGGTGACTTCACTTATACTTGACCTTGGAACTGTATGGAAATGAGTGGTCAGTTGTATTTCCGGCCGAAGGAATTTCCAGCTTCTGGAACCTGTTGGGTAGGAGGCGGTTGCCCTCACCGGGAGTCAAATCCCGGTCAACCAACCACTGACTGAGTTACCCGGGCATCGTGTAATGGTTTGTGGCTTTCAGAGAGATAGGGACAAGCCCCTAAATATTGAAGAAGAAAAATAATTTATTTTCCAGCTTTTTATTTGTTTTGCAACACTGTTGATATGTGTTCTCAGATAAGAATTATCGAGATAAACCGAATATTTAAAATTTACCTTAGGCGTATGGAACTCGGATGGGTCGAACATTTATTAAACAAGTTTACACTTCAAGAAGTGGGATGAATTGGAAAAGACCGTATAAACTGAAGGTAGTCAGGAAGAGAACTTCTGTTCTTTTGCAGTGAAAAGGCTCGGGAATGAGCAGTAACTGGCAGCTTGCTTGTTTTTTTAAGCGAATGTGTTACAGGACTGGAACACATGTAGCACAGATGCAAGTCTCCGTTTAAAACCTATACAGAATTTATTTCGATAGGAGATATTTAAAACAAATAAAATATATTAAAGAGAAAGCGTGTGTACACTTTTAACCTTCTTGTAATCCAATATAATTTGGGACTAATGCCATGGGCTACATTCTTATGCAAAAAATTCTCAGTCCAATATTGAACTGCTTGAGAGATCTTTTTTGAGGAATACTGTACCCAAATTGAGGCCTACTTCGATTCCCCGAAGATAAAAATTGACGTGTTCCATTTATCCTATCCTCCATGATGTGTTTACCCTTATAATATTTGGCGAAGTATTACAAATCTGAAGACCTTATTATGTGGTTTTCTCAAGCCGTTTTATATTACCAGAGAATTTTTATGAAGAGCTGAAAATTAAAAAAAGCAAAATATCAGTCGAAACGCCAACAAAAACTCAGCCCCCAGTGACCGGTCTTCCGACCCAGAATCGAAGCGGGGACCTTCCGATTACGAAACAGCTGTTAACCGATATACTGCAACGGCTGTACCGGACATAAACAAATTAGGATTTTAATGAGACAGATTTACGCACCAAGTGAAGTTTAAAAGTATTAATACATGAATAAGTACGCCTAGAAGAGGAATCTGTCAGATGTACTGAACTTATTTAGAGCTGACAAATTTCCCTGTCTTAGCTTCTAAGTATAACTTACGGCTTCCTATTTTTATAGATTACTCACGACTAACTGATCAGTGCTTCAGCAGTTTCTAGGAAAAGTGCTCTAAAACTTGAACAATATTCAGCAGGCACACTTGTTATTCTGTCTTTGCTTTAATGTCTTAGGTATTTATTTAAATTTAAGCGAAGCCACGTGAAGCTTTGAATTCACACACGTTTACTTTTAACCGCCCTCTCTAAATCTTATAATAGTTTGTGAAACATGAAAGGTTGTTCACTAAGAAAATAAGCAATGTTTTGAAAATGAACAGTACCTCGTCACCGAATATTGTGTGAATACAGACGTAATGTGTCATACAACTGAAGAAATATAAAAACATAATAAAAATATTGACAGGTTTTGAATAAAAACTGGCAAAGTAGTGTCGTGTATGTTGAGAAAACGTTAAAATGGTAGTATTATTTATTCTAATGCCTTCTGAGTTGTAGCTGCATAATTCCAGATAAATATCCTAGTGTATGATGTATTTATTTGACGGAAATCAACCTTTTCGTGTTGAAAATTATTTCAATTTATTTTAGAATGATCTTGCACATGACGTCAAAAATTGAAAATTTACAAAATTTCTTAAGACAGGTTAGTTTTATGAGGGGAAAAAAATCTTCGTGGTAACCGATGCCAGATTCCCCGCAAACGCAGACTCCCTTAGACCCAATTATACGCGCCACCGTTTGAATTTCTTGCTACCAGAGTCGCCATCTCCCAGAAATTAATTTGTTTCCACATCGCAAAAACAGATTTTATTTGGGACACAAAATTAAACCCTGTTTTAATGTAAGTGTAATAAGGTCTTCAATTTGAAATTATGTCTTGTGCAGGTTCCTGAGCCCTGCTGTCTGCAGAATGATGACCTAACCACGTGACTCTCTCCATTCAGCAACACCAACGAAGGTAAGCTTCTTTAATCAAATTAACCTTCATTTTCTGTACGGTATGTGGTGAAGTGAACGCTAGACTCTGATGCTTAAGTACTGCTACTTTCTCTCAGAAAACAGAGTTAGTCTTTAAAGCCACGTGATGAAATACGGGAGCAGGTACCGCTGTAAATCGTTATACGAGGGAAATCAAAACCGTAAGCCTAGTATTGGTATTTTTCGTTGTATGGATGGCAAAACTGCTGAGGTCTGGTCATACTGTGTCTCAAGGTCAGACAGTCGTACTGCGAGTCTTGGTCTAGTCAGTATGGCGTTAAGCCGGCTTAATTAGATGTCTTCATAAATTTTGGAATCATCGTTGATTTTTTGTTCAGTATGGGTTCGGCTTCTCCATTCACTTCTGAAACTTATTCTACAAATAATTATTCTTTGTTGGAGCGCCGGCGTTGTTAATGACGTCATTTGTCAAGTTTTCTGTCCGTCTCTTGCGTCTCCCAGAGGACATCGTAATGTAATACGACTTAGCCAAGTCCTTGGCTGACAGATTAATCCCCGTAGAGTGTGAGTGAAACGTTCAACAGTCAGCTTGTCATGACTAACTCCTTCTGTAACATGAAATTGAATTTTCGAGGTTATTCGCTTCTCATAAAATATTTTAAATAAACTAGGGGTAATTTTTTGTACTCAGTAAATGCAAATTAATTCAGTTACAGTGAGTATACCAATGACAATTAAAACAGAAATCTATTTAAGAAGAGTGCGTTTGAAATAAGTGCATATGAACTTTTGTTTTGATACATCTAACGGCAAGTCTTCTTGATAGAACTACTTGCAGAAAGGTTTTTTTTTAAAAAAGAATTTTAAGTAATAGGTCGTTAAGAAACTTCACTGTAATGATGGAGAATATGTTAAATGGCTTTCCTATGGGATAGATACGCCCATTGAAGTTATAAACAAACAGAATTATTATGTGTTGTTCAAAGAAAATCCTGTATTCCACTGAGTTGGTTAATTACGTACTTCAGGGTTTGAGGATTTCATTACTATGTGAATATAGAACTTCAGCCCTGAAGATGGAAGTAGTAAGTTCCTCCGAAACGATTGTATATAACTAAGAGACTGCACAGCGCCATAGTTCCATATGCCGCCAAATCTAATTAAGTAGATACTAAGAATTATATATGACATATTCCCCTGTTGCTGACTCTTTGCATTAATTCTTTTAAAATTTATGTAGATTTAAGGTTCTTGGGAGAAAGTATGAATGAAAGTGTGTCCTGAAAATAAGGGACTTTCCTGCGCGTGATTCTGGGATAGTCTGCAACCCTCCTGTGATATTGATCGCAGCGCCAACCACGCTACCCCGCGCCACTCCCAAGTTTGTTGGGTTGCATACCAGCTTGCTTCTCGGTCAACATGCGCTGGAATATTACAGTGAAAGTAGAAAGACGACCATCACCAGATAAAGTACAGCAGCGAGCACCGACGAATTTACGCGCGATCATACGTAATTGTTTTTTTTAACACCTTCGTAACTTAAGACGTCCGTCGTCTGGGCTGTTGCGTCATGTAGTCTAGTAGAAGTTTACAGGCTTTTCAGAGGTGCTTACTGCCTCCATCATCAGGGTTATGATCGTTCTGGTAATGGAAGAAGAAAATATTTCTGAAACGTCGGTCTGTCAGACTACACGGCGCAACAACT